CATAACTGTGTGCATTTATTTTATGCAAATCAACCTGAGAATGGCCTTCAGGTGTACGTGTCCAATCGACTGACTCAATGGCATGCACAGAGGAGAAATATTACAGAAACTCTCAGCAGCGTGGAACTTCCATTCACATCATTTCCAGATGATTTCTTATGTATTATCTCATTCCCACCGAGCGACAAGCCCATGAGGTAAATCAATAATCATCACAAGTCAGACATGCATCTGGATATGACCGAGGCACCCTCACTTCAACTGATCTACACATAGTTACATATCACGGATGGCATATCTAAGCATCTGTTGACTCTTTCACTTTCTCCCAGGTTGTCTTAGGTCTGACCCTGTTGAACTCGCAGTGTCTCCCCAAAAGTTCATATGCTGAAACGTAAATTCCTTTCTGCAGCAGTGTTGGGAGGTGAGACCTAATGGGAGGTGTTTGGGTCATGGGGGCAGAGTCCTCATGAACGGATGAATGTCTCTGCTCAGGGGACTGGGTTAATTCCCATGGGACTGAATGAGTTACTGCAAGGACAGGTCGTTATCAGTTGAGGCTGCCCACCCATCTTGTCTCTTCTGCATGAACCCACTTGCCCATTTTGAGAAAAGCTAAAGCAGCACAAGGTCCTCAGCAGCTGGCACCATGATGTTGGACTTCCCAGCCTCCAGAACCATCAGCCCAAATAAACCACTTTCCTTATAAATTATGCAGTCTTGGGTACTCTAAGAACAGAAAATAACTAGGAAAGACCTTCATATTCTTTACCTACATCTTCCCTCCTCTCTAACCCTCTCTAACCCTCTAGTCCTGTAACACTCTATGCTCGCAGCATCTTCTATCTCTCATAGCCTAGCTCCTCCCTCTATTGCTTAGAAATTCACCGCACTTTCCCACTCCCTATCTAGTGGTTCAGCAGGGGCCCTAAATAACTGGAGAGGACCCCAATGGATAAAGCACTTCCTTAAAAGATTCAAATTTTACATTTAAAAATGTACACATTTTTTCCCTCTGATCTATAATTTATACTGCTTGGATTTAATAGAAGTACCCTGCGTTGGATTTTTCCATCTAGGAAAATATGCTATGGCAACCCAGTCTGCAGCTTCACAAACCCCTTGGCATGCTACCTGTCCATTCCCTCTAAGCTACCCAGACAAGGGTCCAAGGCAGAGCATGAAGTTTGCAGATGTTGAGACCTCACACACTACCATCTCCTCCCAATAGCAGTCGACACTTCTGTCTTAAAAGATGTATTTCTGGAACACGATCAAAGAAAAGGGCCAGTAAAACTGCTAGTAGTAGTATTGACCAATACTAAATCCTTCTTTTAGAATTTCTCAGTAAACATAAGCATGCTAAATTTTGAGTTTTCCAGCAAAACCTGCAGCAAAGATCAACCAGGAGCCAAGATTCCACAGAACACATATTGCAGAATGCACGCCTCCTCCACTGCCCTTCTGAGCTCTGTGTACAGTGCCTGAGAGCTCTTCCTACGTTCTCCAACTGGAAAATTCCTACTCACCTTGAGAACTCTAACACCTCCTTTTAGAGACAATTCCCAGCCACTATACTAGGAAATGTTTTACTCTGCAGATCTGCGATGGTTAGTACAGATGTCTGTGTGAAATCTCAACGTAGGTGGTCATCGCGGACTTAGTTTGTAGTCTCCCTATTTACCTTTTAGTCTCCCTTTCAGATTGTGAGATAATAGAAATCATTCCTTATTCATCTGTGAGTTCTCAGAATCCAGCAAAGTCGACACTTGGAGGCCAATAAATATACATGGAATAAACTGATAAAATGACAACTGATCATTCATGAAAATAAAATATGCAACACCACATGCATCTCCACATAACTCCAGCCAAGAAATCTCTCTTGACAAAAGGGGGAACAACAACAACAATACTTTTTGGCTCAGGGAGGGGAGACAACTATGGCCTCTAGAACGGCTCAGTTGGAATGGGCAGATGACCCCTAGAACTGATTTTCTAAAGGAATCTGCACCAGCTAAGATTTTGTCACACAGATCCTTTATGAGAACCACAGTGTCTCTGATCCAGGGAGCTGAGATTTCATCTGGAAAGACTTGGCAACATTTCAGAACTCAGCAGAGCCCAGCAGGCCTGGAATACAAGTGTTTATGTATTTCATTATGCCTGATATAGACACTTCTCATGGGGGATCTCAGGACAGTCGCCTCCAATCAGTTCCAGTTCAGCCAGTTTAAGAAGACTCGGCTGACTCCGTTCTGCAAAAGAAGTTCCCAAGTCTAAGAGAGGCAGCAAGTGCAGGGCAAGGGGCCTGCAAGTCCGGGACGGGTTCTCCTCATCACTCCGGCTCCCGTCACCTGGGCAGGCCGGCACATCCTTCCAGGCACCGGCTTCTCAACCTCTGCGCTAAGTGGCCACAGAATGAGAAGGGAACAAACCTTCTGAGAAGCACCAGTGTGTGTCAGGCTCTTTCTCTTTTTTAATTCTCTCCAGGCCCTGTGAGGGGGATATTATTATTCTCATCTTACACTTGAGAAATCAGGGCCTAGGAAGATGAAGTAGTTTTCTGAAGGCCACTCCACAAACACAAAGTGTTGACTGGCTGAGATGTTCAGTGCCGTCACAACCAAAGTGAGACTGGGACCGTTTCTCACCCCCTCCGTGGCCCTGGCTGCTGAAAGCCATCTTCTCGTGTGTTTTTCTGACACCAGAATGGTGAGGACACACAGCTTAAAATGCTATTTTTTAAAGCTGTATAATGTAACAAAGTTTGTAAATTTTTCACATCATTCATGCTAACTTACACCTCAACTTTTCCTAAGAGCCAGCATGCCTCAGACTAATTGGATTCCTTCAGAGTCCCTTAACACGTTCATGATGGGGACCACCATCTGTAGGATCTTGCTGCCAGGCAGCTCTGATTTACTTTTATTGGTAAAAGGACCTATAAAAGTGATTAGATCTATTAGCACTACTGGTGGTTCAAGCCTCCTGAAAGGACAGTCATACACAGTAGCTCACAGCGCTGGGAACAGGTTTAAAGAGGCAAAGGTGCCCAGCATAAAAAGCCTGCAGCTCTCCATGAGTGCGGAGCAGTCTGCTCTCCAAAGACAGCTGCCACAGCCGCGGAAGGCCTGCTCCCCTCACTCACACACGCTCCCCAGCTCAGTGGGCCCCTGCACCATCACCTTATCCAGACACCACGAAGACATGTGCTTGAGAGGCTGCTGTGGAGCGGTGGGCACCCAGCCAGAGCACAGCTGAGCAAGGGGAGAACAGAAGAGGGACCTGACCCCTTCTCCCCATATCATAAGCCACTTGTGGAATGTGAGAGCTCAGCTGCGGACCTTTCTGCATGTGGCTGTTGTACAGAAACGTCTAGCATCCAGTGTCCAGCTTTGGAGTCTCTTCAAGTTGTCTGTATGGTTTTTATCTCACCACAATGACCTGGGAAGAACAACGGTGACCATTCTGCTAACAGGAAAGTCAAGGCTCTAAATACGTAAGAAATTTACCTAAGACTGGCCATCCAGAGGCCAGCAAAGCCAGACGTTATCCAAATCCCAAGTACAAATCCTGCGCTCCTTAGAGAAATTGAGCAGCTTCTCTATAAACCACAATCCTCAGCCGATGCCTGGAGCCTTTGTGCCCGCTCCACCCTACATAGCCCGCTCCACCCCTCATAGCCCTCCACTTCCTCCAACCTGGCTGCCACCAACACATCAGCACCGGAACGTCCTCGCTCAGCTTCTTTCCTCTACCTCAAAGTCTTCATCCTTCCTCCCTCCCTGCAGCCTGTACTCTGCACACAGCAACTGACTTACAAAACAGGACAGCAGCTATTTTATCTCACGCTAACTTCTCCTATCTTCAAGCATACATTCAATACCTAAAACAGGACTTTGCTGTAGGAGGAGGTGCACATTGGACACTGGTGTAACATGAGAAAGGAAGCCGTTCACCACAGCAATTAGCCAGGGTAAGCAGCAGAACGCCCACCAGCAAGGTGGCGAGGATAACTGTTCACACGACTAGGAACGATCACCTGTCATCTTATACCTCTCCACCCCTCAGGTGGTCCTTCGCAGTTTCTACCGGGAGTGGCAGCTAATTACCAGTCACACATATTTCCTGCTATATTCATCCCTCCTCGTGAGCATCATTATCCCTTTGCTTCAGCCTACCCGGCGCCCTTAGGCTCCAGAACGGAGCAGAGCCCAGGTACATTGTACAGACCACATTCAGACCTACTTAGAATGAATGAAACGCTTCTGCTAAGAACCGGCACTGTAGGAAGGCTACACCACCGCGAAGAGAGCACTCAGAGCCCTCTTTGGGGACAAAAGACAAGTTGACACGGATACTACACAGATTGCTACTGGTAAGGCTGCAAGGCAGGAGGCCGGGGCTTGCAGAAGCTGCCCAAACCGACAGGAAAGAGCATCCCTGGTGTGGAGCCTGAGTCCTCGGTGCACGGCTGCCGGTGTCTGTCCTCACAAGACAGGGAGAGATGTTCAGGACGTGGATGGGAACGGGCAGTCGCAGCACCCAGTGCTGGTCCCCCGCCCTCTGCCCAGACAGATTCACCAGGCACGAAGCCCAGGGCCAGGCCTCCACCCTAAGAAACTACACGGAACAGAACGCAAAGCAGGAGCGGCAGAAAAGCCTAGAAGTGGCTGAACTGCCCTGGAATGCGTTAGTCTCGCTTACTCCGGGGAAACTCAACTGTGACCATGAGTCTCCGGTCTTGGTACTGATTCCCAACTCCAGGTACTTTCCCTTGAGTTCCTAAGCTGAGGGGAAGGCGGGACCCAAGTGCCCACGCACAGGTGGCCGACAGCTGGAACCAGGGCGGGCGGCGCCTCCTCCGCGGGGGAGGCCGAGGCAGTCGGCCACGCAGCCAGGGTCCCGGGCGGGGGGATGTCCCGGCCACGCGACCTGCCACCGCTGCAGAGCCCGGGAGCCCGCGGCCGGCAGCCCCGCACCGGCGCCGGACTCACCACGTCCATGATCTGCAGGAGGCTCAGGGAGAAGTACACGGTGAGCGGCTGCGAGTCGTTGGCCACCGGCCTCTCCAAGGGGTTGTAGTTCTTCACCAGCTCCTTGTAGAGCTTCCTCTGGAACTCGCCTTGCAGGGACACTTCGGAAGAAGAGAGCCCGGCGGGCTGCCGAGGGAGGCC